GATGAACTGAAAGAGATCGAAGGAGAAACCGACGTACGATTACTTCACTTGTCGGAGTAAGTTTTTACGATTCGCCCCTGGTTCGCCCAGTTTTTCACCATTGCGCATCGCGCTCCGTCCAGAAGACCTCGAGGGCCGTTTACCGTCGCCGATGGTCAACGACCGGAAAATACTCGTAAAATGTGCAGAAGAAGAAGAACACTGGCAAAGCATTACTCGTGATTGAGGCTTCGATCGAAGTCACTGGGTATTCACCGACCCGCAGACCCACATTTTCACTTCGTTGCATTCGACATCTTTTTTTTTACACGAATCTATATTAATTATGAATCTACGTTCCAGTGTCTTTTTACGTTAAATTGGATGATATGTTTTTATCATTCTTTATATGTTTTTATTATTTGTTTGGTTCCTTCTCTTTTCGTATTTAAAATATACTTAAAAATGTATTTAGAAATATCAATGTATTTAAACAGACTATTAATACATATTTATATAAAGATACTATAAATATGTATTTATTTAAAGATACTAATAATATGTATGTATTTAAAAAGACTGATAATACATATTCATGCAAAGATATTATAAACATGTATTTATTCAAAGATACTAATAATATGCATGTATTTAAAAAGACTCATAATATATGTTCATATAAAGATACTAAAAATATGTATGTATTTAAAAGGACTAATAATACATATTCATCTAAAGATACTATAAACATGTATTTATTCAAAGATACTAATAATATGTATGTATTTAAAAAGAGTCATAATATATGTTTATATAAAGATACTAATAATATGTATGTACTTAAAAAGACTGACAATACATATTCATCTGAAGATACTATAAACATGTATTTATTCAAAGATACTAATAATATGTATGTATTAAAAAGACTGATAATATATGTTTATACAAAGATACTATAAATATGTATGTATTTAAAAAGACTAATAACACATATTTATACAAAGATACTATTAACATCTATTTATTTAAAAATGCTAAAATACCTACATATTTTAAATGACTAAAAGTATCTAGTTACTTAAAAATACCTAAATATCTACGTATCTAAAAATATTACAAATATTCATACACCTAAAAATATAAAAGTATTTGAAAATACCTAAAATGTCTGAGTATACAAAAATGTCTAAAAATTCATCTGCCAAAACTAACTAAATCACTCACTTAAAAATATAAGAATTTGCCATTAAAATTCATCACAAAATCAACAATCTTATAAAAAAAGAACAAAATAGTAAAATAAAAAAATTAACTAAAAATTAAATTAAATTAAGTAATTAACTAATTATCTTTGACCTGAAGGTGAATAATTAACATGAAGTATATTTTAAGACGAAAAATATGTGAAAAGAAAAGAAAAGTCGATAACATATAAGACTATTATTGCAACAAACACAAACGATGCATAAGCAATGGTTGGCGGGGTTCGTTGAACCCGCGGTTCTAACTGTTCCACGTTTAATGGTGAATATAAAAGGAAGAATCGAGTATCGCACGGGTGTACTTTACCCGATTACGTATTTGCAAGAAAACTACAATAAACCTAGTCTCGCAAGTTTCGCTCGGTTTCGGCGCTGTGTTTGTTCCGCACGCGCGCGCCTACTCATTCTCTCTGTACGGGCTTGCAAAAATAAAGAAAAGAATCGACACTTTACCGTTATGTTCACCCAACTCGCGCCATAATTACACCATGGACTTGCTACTTGCCAGATGTATACAGATACAGCTCTCGTGCTAACTGTACGGAAGATGCTGCATACCTGTCTTTACCACTGATTATGCGCATGAAATTGAATCGTTGTATCTATTAACGTTTAATGTACGTAATTACTTATCTACAATTTACTTTGCCTAGTATATACATTCTAATTTACGTTTAAATATGTTGTATGGATACGGTGTGATGTACACTTTCGATGGGGACGCATATGTAAAGTTGACGATTTTTGAATTGTCTAATGTTTGTGTATTGTATGTTTTCTAGTTATAGATTTCTAAAATATTGTATTCTGAAGTTTGTTATGTTATCAAGTTTCTAGACTCCAAATTTCAAATTCATGTGTTTTTTAAATTCACTAAGTTATATTTGTAAATTTCTACTTGTTCAGATTTTTCATTTTGGCTAAGTTTTAATTTTCCACATCTTCCATTTCAAATTTTCCTAATTTTTAGGTCTATTAATTTTTGGAGCGCAAGTCTTGAAAGTCCCACATTCCTTAAATTTCCACTGCTTTTCACTTCGAGACTTCTAAATTTTTATCTCTTCAAATTTCCACAATTCTCAAATTTTAGTTTTGCCAAATTCCAGACCCACAACTTCCACATTCCCCAAATTCCCAAATCTTCAAATTTCCACATTTTTCAATTATAGGACTTTCAAATTTTTATCTCATCAAATTTCTAAAGTTCTCACATTTTAATTTCTCCAAATTCCTAAATCCTCAATTCTTACATTCTTCAAATTCTCAACTCTTCAAATTTCAATATTTTCTAGTTTGAAGACTTCCGAATATCATCTCATCAAATTTCCAAAATTCTTAAATTTTAATTTTTCCAAATTCCTAGACCTTCAATTCCATATTCCATAAATTCTTAAACATTGATACTTTCACATTTGTCAGTACCCAGATTTCCAAGTTTCCATCTCTTCAAATTTATTAAATTCCTAAACTTTTAAATATCAAAGTTTTCATCTTTCAAATTTCCCAATTTGTAAATTTATAAACTTGACCCTGAATACCTAAATTCCCATATTTCTTGGTCCTTAGACCTGAATCCTATAATTTCTGGACCTAAATGTACATATGTATACTAGTCTCTAAACTTAAATTCCTATAACCTCAAATTTTTACATCCCAAAATCCCCAAACCAATTCCCTACATACAAAACTTGTATATTAAACCAACAGTTATTATAATTTATAATAAAAGACTGTAACCTCTCATGTACTTCTTCAAGTGCACTTTCTCTGTCTATTACTCAGCCTTCTCGCGGAACGCAGGGATTAAAAGGGAACCTTAACCTTTCACTCGCGTCTCAGAAAAATGAGAAACGAACTTGAGCTTTAGTCAGAGATGAAATTCAGTAAAGACTCAACTTATCGAAAGAGTAATTAAACCGGTTTTCTACTTTAACGAGGATTAATAATAATGCCTGATCGAATATCCTGTTTGAAATCAGCGTTATCTAAAGAAAATTACGTTACACTATCGCTATTCGAGGAACTAGCATTCAATGTCTTGTAGTTTGTCAATGAACATTTTTATTTTTGTAATTTCATTTTATTTTTTGTTTAATTTATTGTTATTAGCATTTTTACGTCATCTGTGATCATTAGATGAAAGTATGATTTTTGTATTTTGTTGTATATTTTTTATTTTGCTTTATTTTTAAAGGTACTTTAATAAATACTTTTATTTACTAAAAATTTATAGTGAAATTTAGTAAATTTTTATTTTTAGTGTTCAGATATGAATTTTCGAATTTTTGCATTTTGTAAATGTTGAATTTTGGAATTTTGAGATTTGGTACTCGTTAAACTTTGAACTTCTCGAGTTTTGTAATTGAACTTCGAATTTTTTTGCATTTCAAAATTTGTTGAATTTTTTCATTTTGAAATCTTGTAGAACTTCATTTTTCTATTTTACGTCTTCAGATCTTTTTGGATTTAAAAATTTGGAGCCTTTAAGCTTATAAAAATATATTTCGCATTTGAAAACAGAGGAAACTTAAAAATCCATCAATTCAGACATTAAAAAACAAACACAGAAACTTGAAACCCCACAAACTGAAAATTTGCAAAATTCGCCAACTTCCGAAAGTGGATTAAATCATCAAGCGTCCATACCCTTCTAAAATCTACATTACAAAATATCTACAGTCAAAAATCCCGCGTTCCACGTGATCGATTATCACATCACCGTAAACACAGGTACCTCGCTAATCGTCCGTAGAAATTAATAGAGTACCGTGCAGCTCATGCAGCACGTTAGAACGTTCGTTATCTCGTTGCGTTTCTCCTCTTTTAACGACGGACATCAATCACGAATGGAACCCGAGATTATTTCCTGGAACTCGCTTGAATCCGACTAATACGATGGTTCCTGAACTTTCATTAAAACGAAACCTGTTTACCGTTCTCATACTTCGTGTTTTATTCTCTGTATGTACATAGTTATACAAATCAGATGATCAAGATGACAAACGTTGCAGGGCAGCAAAATTAATGAGATTACTTGTTGGTGTCGGTTTCTGGCGAACATTTCAAGGCAGTACGTATAATGGATGGCTTTTCTAACCTCTTCGATTTCATTTCGCTTATTTGCCCCTGAAAAACACGATTGTTCGTTAGTTACAAATACGATGGAGATTGAACGAGAAGAGAGATTTTGTACGTACCAGCTGCCTGATTGAGCGTTCGCTGAAGCTTGGGCGTACGAATTTGCGGAACCGCCACCGCCACTGAAATTTTTCGGTAAATAAGTCATTTGTGCAGATGGCAACGTATGGGATGAAGCGTGAGATGATTTGGGGGTGCAGGAATTTTGGGATGCAGCGATTTTGGGGAGTAGTGATTTTAGGGTGTAGCAATTTGGGGACGCAGCGATTTAGGAACGTAGAAATTTGGGGACGTAGCGATTTGGGGACGTGGAAATTTGGGGGTGTGGGAATTTGGAGATGTGGGAATTTGGTGACGTGGAAATTTGGAGATGTGGAAATTTGGTGATGTGGGAATTTGGGGACGTGGACGTAAACACAGGTACCTCGCTAATCGTCCGTAGAAATTAATAGAGTACCGTGCAGCTCATGCAGCACGTTAGAACGTTCGTTATCTCGTTGCGTTTCTCCTCTTTTAACGACGGACATCAATCACGAATGGAACCCGAGATTATTTCCTGGAACTCGCTTGAATCCGACTAATACGATGGTTCCTGAACTTTCATTAAAACGAAACCTGTTTACCGTTCTCATACTTCGTGTTTTATTCTCTGTATGTACATAGTTATACAAATCAGATGATCAAGATGACAAACGTTGCAGGGCAGCAAAATTAATGAGATTACTTGTTGGTGTCGGTTTCTGGCGAACATTTCAAGGCAGTACGTATAATGGATGGCTTTTCTAACCTCTTCGATTTCATTTCGCTTATTTGCCCCTGAAAAACACGATTGTTCGTTAGTTACAAATACGATGGAGATTGAACGAGAAGAGAGATTTTGTACGTACCAGCTGCCTGATTGAGCGTTCGCTGAAGCTTGGGCGTACGAATTTGCGGAACCGCCACCGCCACTGAAATTTTTCGGTAAATAAGTCATTTGTGCAGATGGCAACGTATGGGATGAAGCGTGAGATGATTTGGGGGTGCAGGAATTTTGGGATGCAGCGATTTTGGGGAGTAGTGATTTTAGGGTGTAGCAATTTGGGGACGCAGCGATTTAGGAACGTAGAAATTTGGGGACGTGGGAATTTGGGGACGTGGAAATTTGGGAATGTGGGAATTTGGAGATGTGGATGTTGGAATTTGGGAATGTGGGACTTTACGTATGTGGGAATTCGCATATGTGAGAATTTTCATATGTGGGAATTTGCATATGTAAGAATTTGGGAATGTGGGAATTGGGAAATATGGGAATTGGGGGATGTGGGAATTTACATATGTGGAAATTTGGGAATGTGAGAATTTGCATATGTGAGAATTTGGGGATGTGGGAATTTGGAAATATGGGAATTTGGGGACGTGGAAATTTGGGGATGTGGGAATTTGGGAACGTGGAAATTTGGGGATGTGGGAATTCGGAGACGTACGGATTTAGGGGCGTAGCGATTTGGGGACATGGTGATTTGGGGATATACCGATTTAGGGATGTAGAAATTTGGCGACGTAGCGATTTGGGGACATAGCAATTTCGTGTCGCAGCAATTTCGTGATGTATCGACCTGAAGATATTGGGATTTGGGAATGAAGGAATTTGGAGATGTAACGATTTGGAAATGTAAGAATTGGAGAATATAGAAACTCGAGAATAAATGTTTCGATATAGAAATTTAGAGATACAGAAATTCAAGAATATAAAAACTTGCAAATAAAGAAATTTCAAGAAATAGAAATTTAGGAGTAGTATCTCCTCATTTCTTTTTTTGAATTTATATATCTCAATGCGATTTGTGCTTTTCCATATTTGTACTATTTAATTTTAAAAACATACCATGTGGTGCAACCTCCGCTACCTGTAACAAATATAACAATAGTTAATTTACCATAATAAATATTCCAAAAATTAGTCTAATATATTGTTTATATAAGTTTCTATTTGTATGCTTTTGTAAACTTAAGCATATATTATATACTTATTAGACGAAAGAAAGCTAGTGGTTTAATGATCTTCAAAAACTCGCAATTACATTAACTCAAATTACATATTTACCTCCTCCATGAGGATAGCCACCACCACCTCCAGGATAGCCACCGCCGCCTCCGGGATAGCCACCTCCTCCACATCCTCCTCCTCCACATCCACCTTTTCCAGGATAGCCACCGCCTCCGGGGTAGCCACCACCACCTCCAGGGTAGCCACCACCACCTCCAGGGTAGCCACCACCACCTCCGGGATAGCCACCGCCGCCTCCGGGGTACCCACCTCCTCCACATCCTCCTCCTCCACATCCACCACCACCTGGATATCCGCCACCACCACCTGGATATCCACCGCCACCACCTGGATATCCACCTCCTCCACATCCTCCACCTCCGCATCCTTTATTGAATCCCTTTCCTAATCCACCGCCTCCACCGAATCCACCACCGCCTCCAAATCCACCACCTCCTCCGCCGCCTCCTCCAAATCCACCTCCGAGTCCTCCAAAACTACTCCTCCTGTTACGAATTTTCTTCAGTTTCTCTGATGCCTTTCTTGGCATCAGATCCGAGGTGCTGGTTACTTTTAGTTTCAGCGCTTTGGTCTCGCCATCTTTTTCGAGCTTCTGGACCTTCACGCCCCGGGGTTTTTTTAACTCGTCCGCGGCGACGTTCAGGTCCATCGGAACCTTCGTTTCGTTGCCCTTTTCGTCGATCTCGACGATCAACATCACCATTGACCATGGTCCTGTTTCAAATTTTACGTTGTGTTAACGTTTGTATTGTTATTGTATTTGTAAACGAACTTGTTAATTTCTTGTTGTTTCTAAGAAATTGATTTTACTTGTTTTGAGAGTTTCGAGAGATTTTATTTTCATGGAGGCTATTGTGATGCTGGTATTTTCATTTGGCCGTTGGTGATTTTATTTATTTGTAAGTTTTGATGAATTTTTAGTTATCCTTCGCAAGTTTAAAAATTCACAAAGTTACAAAGTTACAGAGTTACACCATTACAAGTTTAAAAATACACAAAGTTACAAAGTTACAAATTTACACGCTTAAAAATTCACAAAGTTACAAAGTTACAACATCATAAATTTACAAATTAACAAACTCACAAATTTGCAAATGAAAAAATTAACAAACGTACGATTTTAAAAAATTCCAAAACACAGAATTTTAGTAATTAAAAGAATTCGAGGTGCACGAATAAATTGACAGTCCTTTATTTCCTTTATCTTAAAAAGTTTTAAGATAATTTTTCATCTACTTTTACATGACGTGTAATAACAAATAATATGTTTAATTACCTGCTATTTCCGGAACTGTTTCTATGAGTTGATTGTCAAACATTTCTTCCGCAGTCTCACCACTTTCATTCTTCACTCCTGACAGATTTATCATGTAAACAATGTACTTGTAATCCTCATCTTCCGATGCCGCCGGAGGTTCCAGCTTGGTCGATAAAGTAGGTCCGTCATCGGAGGATACCGTGGTTGTTTCTAATTTTAAATAAATATAATTGCACAATTACATATCACAGTGAAAATGATCAATATATGTTCTTCCTAACACGATTAAGTTGTTAATTTAACAACTAAAGTCACGTAAATGCAATTTCTGTTAAAAAATGTGTACAGTAATAAAGTTATGATCATCGATTCTATGAAATGGCATTAAAATATGATAAAAGATATGATTTTATTAATTGTAAACTTTGTCAAAATTAAATTTAACGTTCATGCAATCAAAATTAAATGTCACAGCAAATATTACAGTAAGTGTGCACTATACTTTGTTTTTCTTTTTTCAAACTTTCCTAGTAATACACTCAATTACACTACATTTCAATGTCACATTCATTTTCAATGACATACATAGATGACACAAGTGTCGAAATAACGCTAAGTAATTATATTTGTAATACTAAATAAATCGACTGTCAAATTTGTATTAATAAAAAATCTAAAATAATAAAATTTACTGCACCACAGTGTAGTGTAAATGTACCCAAAGACTTCTACACCTTTGAGTTCTAGATTGCATCCACAAAAACTCATTGTCAGAATAATTTGTCAACGAGATCAATGAAGTTTTGTAATTAATTGAAAGTTTGTCGACGAATATTTAGAATGAACAGTGGTTGAATTTTAAAATGACTTAACTGAACGACTTTGAAAAGATGAAATCGAAGGTTGCAATTTTATACAATTTCAAAAGGTTTCCTAGATTGCATAAAACAATATAACATGTGGTCTCACCTGGAGGTGGCGCCGCCAGAAGGGCGGAAACAAAGGAAAGTAGGAGCAAAGTCCTAAGACAGCCGAGCGTTTTCTCAGCCATCGTGAAGAACTGAAAAGCACTTACGATGCACTGTGCTTCGGATCTTTCATCTTGCTGCTTTTATAGCTATCGATCTTTACACACGCGCTATTCGCAGTTATATAACATTAACGCAAAGCCACCTCCCCTCTTCTTTCTTCCGTTGCCGCCATTGTCCACCTGCGTTGCTTCTCTTTTTTGGTTTTTCCGCGGGAATTCCAGTTCCGTTCGTTCCTACGCACCGTAATGTCGTTTTTGAGTCCAACTTTGTCATTAATATCGTACTGCGATATGTTATGCAATATACACCGTGGCCAATCGAAAGCTGGTGCAATTAGTGTACAGAAACAACACGTATCGTTTACAACGTATTTTCTATCATTATTGTTTGGTGTGCAAATTAATTTGATTTCCTCTTTTGCTAAAATAATTCGATTATTAAATTCAGTTTAATGTAAGAATTTGAATAGTGTTAGAAATTTTATTAATTTCCTGTGTCCAGTGTTTATTGGTGTGAATATTTTAACACCTTTCTTTGGGACAAAATTTTATTTCTTTAATTACTTTCTCCCTGTTTTCCAAAACTTGTGCTAAAACACGTGACTTATCTGTGTTGTCGTTCGTGGCTGATAATTCATTCATTATTTAAAATGACTGCCGAGATGCGTGTTTCTGCTGCGAACATGTGTAGTCTAGCCCATGTTATGGAACGTAATTCTTTTCTTGATACAGTTCGAAGAAAATGTAGAAATATAAGGAATTCATAGATTAGCGAGAATCTTTTGCTGCAGCAACATATTTGCATTTTTTTAAATGAAGCTATTTTTTAAATAAATCTTGGAATAAATAATGTTGTAATACAATGTTTAGTAAAATGTAATCTTGAATCTTGGGACAAATTTAGAAATATTAAATGATGTTTCATGAAATATAAATTCTGTGAACTTGATGAAATGTTTTCCATCAAGATTTCAATATTAACTTTTGGTAAATAATATTGAAACATTAAATGACGTTTCATGAAATGTAAATTCTGTGAACTTGATGAAATGTTTTGTATCAAGATTTTAATCAACTTCAGGAGATTTTTAACATCAAGATTTTAATCAACATTATGAGAATTTTTATATCGAGACTTTAATTAACAATGTGAGATTTTTTACATCAAGATACCAATCAAAAATATGAGTAATCAACGTTAACAAATAACAATGCAATTAATTTAAGTCGTGACTGTTTCGAAGAATTGTCATGAATTACATTTAAAATGGACGAACTTTTGAGAACAAATTTTCTTAGAATAAATAAACAGAGTTAATTTACATATCAATTACATTAGCATGCATTCCACGAAAACATTGCGAGAACTATATTTTCAATTGCGATTAAAAATGAAATGAAAAAAATTGACCCCTTTGAACGATGCGTTTGATAAAACGATGCATGAACGTAATTGAAGACAGAGAATTGACTGTGCGATGATCGAATACTTGATAACAAGTGAAACGAGTGTTCTATTGGTTAACACTTTGTTGCTAAAATATTTTACGTCAATTTTTTTTCGTATTTAGCATACCGAGCTTGAATTTATATAAAATTCGTCGGAGAATACGTGGTGGTTATTTTACGTTGTTCAAGGATAAAATAAATTGGTCGTGTAATTATTAATAAATATTAAGTATGCACATAGATTGTAATTAGTATAAATAATAGTTATATTTTAGGAGATATTTATTTATATTTAATTTTGGTAGAATAATAAAAGTACAAAGTTATTAAGAGAATATACTACTTTTATTTAACTCATATTTGACTCATATTTCTAATTTTATTTAAATTTTGTATTAAAAACTACAACATTTTTAAATTAAGGTTTTGTATTAAAAATTGTAGAATTCCCTAATTAATTGTATTAAAAACTGCATATAATTGTCGAGAAAAAAATACAAAGAACTTATGCAACAAAAGACCTCAGATATCATTTTTCACAGAAATTAATTAAAGCCGTCTTTTCTTCAATTAATGAATTTTTCATTCAAATCTCACAGTTGCATCGAGTGAAAAATTCCTAAAAGAAAATTAATTTTTTTCCACGAAAGAGATCGAAATTGATACACGTGCACGATTAAAATTCTGTGAAGGAAAAAAATCCCCACACCTATCGCAGTGATTTTCGTCAAGACAAATTAGTTACTGGTATTCCTAAGCAGAATGATGAGATCATTGTTCCGTGTGGTTCGTACAAATTGTTCCGTGTATATTCGAACGAGCAACTGCAATCCTTTCTTCCCGTTGTTGACTGTTTTAGAATCTTAATATCTCGTGACCTTGGCCTATAGAAGCAAATCCGACCCGATCCATGAATAGCATGCAATTCGATCATCATATTTTTTAGGTTGTGTCATGATTCAAAAAAACTAACGGACTGTTAAACGCGATTGAACGCTATTATTCGGTTTATACGATATCAGGTTGTTGTCATTTTTTAGGATTTTCTGGGTTTCAGAAATCAATCTAGGTTTCACTTTTTATGATTTTCTGGGTTTCAGAAATCAATCTGGGTTTCATTTCTTATGATTTTCTTGGTTTCAGAAATTAATCTGTGTTTAATTGTTTATGATTTTCTGGGTTTCAGAAATCAATCTGGATTTCATTTTTTATGATTTTCTAGGTTTCAGTAGACTCTCGTTATATTGCCGCAACTAGGATGTAACGTATAATTTGATCATTCTTATTTTAATATTTAATTATACTTAACTAGTCACGAATAATGAAATAATAAATGATTTTAATAGGTTTATGAATTTATAAAAATAATAATTTTTGCCGTACATAACCTAATGATCATTATATGATTACATTATTATATAACTGCTATAATAATTCATTATCACAATTCACAGAAATAATAATTCTAAGTATACAAACCTAACCTCATACACAAACTTGTATCTTCAAAGATTATTAAAATCAATTCTTATATGATTATATTATACGACTGCTATATAATCATTACGTGATAACATTATTATATAATTGCTATAAGATTATGAAATGAGTATCGTTAAGCTTCATTCGTTATTCGGAATCTGCATAAAATTAGGTATTCCTCAGGTTATGTTAGGTCAAGTTAGGTTAGATCAAATACCGTCTGATTTACTTTAAATTTTAAAACTCATTTGTATTAACCTAGTATTCATTTGTATTAACTTAGGAATATTTTAATAATACTATCGATATCAATAAAATCAATAATTTATCGATGATCAATACTACTAAAACGTAAGCGTACTAATTTCACATAGTTTTCGTGAAACTTCGTACAAAGGTGATAACGGGATTCATGTATAAACACACACTTCCATAATTTCCTTTTCATTTTCTTAATTATGTACGAAGTCTATCAGTGTTTACAATTTATTGCTGTTGAGACGCAAAGTTCAATTAGTTAAACACGGAAGGATAAAAATTTGTTTTAAGAACCTGAAAATAATCTGAGTGAGATAATCAGATGATTGAGGAATTTCAATCAACAAGTTATTGTTGTTATTTATGGCTGCTTGCATTAATACAATATTTATTTATTCTGTTTTTCTTTTGTTACAATTATTTCTTATTTTCATTGCTTATTTATATTACAAAATATTCCATATTTATTTCGTTATAATTATTTATTATTTTTCTTTTTTATTTATATTGCGCTGTTTGTTTATACCATATGCACTTTATTATTTATTGAAACAAAGAAAATATTACTAAATTATTATAAATTTCATAAATTATTAATGAAAAAAATTAATTCATATATCAAAATGTATAATTACAGTTATAGTTATTTCTTTCTCCATAAAAATCGAGTAAAATGTTTGTCGAAAGATTCGCATACAAAAATAGAGAATTTACGTAGATAGAAATCTCGTGTAGGTTAAAATGGCGGAAAACTGATATAGTAATTAAGAAGATTAATAGACAACAGCCGCAATTATCCTATCTTGATTTATGTCATTGTCATTCTCATATTACACTTTGTATTCATAGTTACTCGTAGAATCTTGCTCACCATAACTGATTTACGTATACACATTACGTTGATTTGTTGAGTAACAAAACCTTGATGCGATTATTTAATGATGGTTCCGTTATTAATAACTAGGCACTAGTTACTAGTGAATGAGTAACTTCAATAATTGTCTTTCATAAACATCTTTCGAAAATTACACGTCATCGTAGTTCAGAACTTTTTTAATTTTAGAAATTTGTTATTCTACAAAGTGTGAGTTATTGAAATTTGTGGGAAATCGAATTTTGACATTTTTATGGTTGTGAAGTTTTAAATTTTGGCATTTGGGGATTTGGGGATTTGGGGATTTGGGGATTTGGGAATTTTGGGATTTGGGGATTTGGGGATTTAGAGATTGGGGATTTAGAGAGTTGGGGATTTAGAGAGTTGGGAATTTAGAGAGTTGGGGATTTAGACAGATGGGGATTTAGAGAGTTGGGGATTTAGAGAGTTGGGGATTTACAGAGTGGGGGATTTAGAAAGTTGGAAATTTAGAGAGTTGGGGATTAAGAGATTTGGGGATTTAGAGATTTGGAGATTTAGAGTGTTGGGGATTTAGAGGATTGGAAATTTAGAGAGTTGGGGATTTAGAGATTTGGGGATTTAGAGAGTTAAGGATTTAGAATGTTGGGGATTTAGGGGGTTGGGGATTTAGAAATTTTAGGATTTGGAGATTTAAAATTTGAGAAGATTGGAAATTTAGAAATTTGGGAATTTGGAGATTTGAAGATTTGAAGATTTGGGATTTAGAGAGTTGGGGAATTAGAAAATTGGGGATTTAGAAAGTTGGGGATTAAGAAATTTGGGGAATTGAGGATTCGGAAATTTGGAGACTTGGAAATTTAGAATTTCAAAATTTTACAAAATGATGAATTTGGAAATTAATAAATTTGGAGAGATTTCGAAATTTGGAAAAAGATAAAATTTTACTCCCACAATTCATTGTTCCAAATACGTCAAACAGTTAATCTACATAAACATCAAAATTAGCATAAAAATCGAATGTACTACGACGATATAATTAACAGTTACATCTAATTGATACGTCTCATGTCAGCCCGTCTTATTCAGCGCACAGAAAAAATAGTAAGAGTAAATATTTTTACAATTGTTCACCGTTTCATTGAATGAGTTACGCAGAAGAATGGACGCATCTATTTATTTCTGCAAATGACGTTCCTGGAATCTGGATCTGTAAAGCAGTTTATTAGCTTAATTGTTCGCGTACATTGATTATATCTTGATACGTAATTATACATACGCGAGATCGAATGGCAAATTAGATACTTTACCTGTGTT